GTCTGTGAACAGAGGAGATTCCAAGGAAACATCCAGAATCTCTGCAGATATTGACAAGGTCACCCAGGCTTAACTGAGCCACCCCCAGTTAATTATTAACACTCTGGTCTCATCTATAATTCAGCTGGAACCTTTTAGTTTCCATGGCAACACCCAGAGGTAGACCCAGGGGGCATGTCTGTGCTCCAGACAACAAGGAGGGCTCCAGAGGTTAAAGGTCACAATTTCCTCCACATCAGGACGACATTGGTCGGTCAGCGGCAGTCTGTCGATTGGTCTCACCCATCCCTGGAGAGCCAGTGCCGGAAGAAGTCGTTAGCGGCCAGTTTGATGGCTTTTTCTGGGGTCACCAGTGTGAGGTTCACTGCGGCACCTGAGAGGGGGGGCAGAGAGTGTCTCAGTCAGAGCTTCTCAACGTGTAATAAAGACTGGAGCCCCAGCAGCACAGTGAGAGCCTTGGGGGACCCCAAAACTGTAAGTGGGGTGTCTGGTTTCGACAGGACACCCCAGCAGAGTGTGCTGCAAGGATGCGTAGTGACCCAACGCAGAGCCCCAAGTCCAGTCCTGAAAACTGCAGTTTGATTTTTGAGAGTTACTTTAGGAGTTACCTTCAACTCCCTGTGAAACTCCCTGTGAAAGAAAGCTGTGAGTCGGGAGAAGGCTATCCAGCCCAGAAGCTTGTTTGCTCGGTAGTGTCTGACTGGTCCTCAAGCTGTTGTTTGAGAGAAACCAGGGTATGAAAACAATAGGGCTGGGCAGCTTCTTCCACACTCCCACAACCCTTTGTGTAAAGAAGCATCTGCTGTTCCCAGTATGTACTTCCCCATAGTAACTTCTGCTTTCAAGCCTGACTTGACTATCACTGCCGTTCATTGTCATACAGAATAGTGCCTTTATCCTGTCTGCTTCACATCCTCCAGCCCAAGCACCATTTGCACACCCCAGTGTTTCCTACCTCTGTACATCCCGAAGTATCCTTCAGACCGGATCGTCTTGAAGAGGCAGTCAGACCTGAGAGCACACAGGCATACAAGTCAGAGTTAGTGTACACTGTGCAGTATCCCAGTGTAGGACAGTGCAACACAGTACAGTATGCAGTACTCCAG